GTGGACAGAAAGTAAATTAAGAAACCCCAACACAACAACAGTGCCTTTTTAGCAGCACAGATTTCTAACCCTTTCTCGACAAAAGAAAAATCCTTCCTGTTGGTGGCTTGGATTTTGATACCCTTATTCATATCATGTAATGCCACGAAATCCATGGGATTACCCACAAAGACAATACCTAATGTGCGTAATGGGATCAAAACCTGGCTGGGTAGGTTTAAAACTGCATGATCTCCCTTTGTACAAATGGATTCACGCATAAAGCAAAAGCTGTTCTATACCTTAGCTCATACAATCCATAAGCAGGTGGAGAATTGCGTTCTATATTCAGCTCTGCCAATTACCAAGCCCCCTCTGGAATCATCAGCGAGCACAAATACAGCTGGAGAGCGGTGAGCAATTCATTGAAGAAGTCAACTTTTTTAGGTTAAGCTGCTGGAATCTGATCAGGTAGGACAAGCCCATTTTCCTAATTTTTTTTTTTTAATTAATTGTATCAAATATGCCCTTAGCAGCAGAAGCTTTTTCTGGATAATATACATAAATATGAATGACGATAGTGGGCAAAACAACCTGTTTTGCTGAATTGCAGAACAATTCTCAGACTGTATGACCCAAGAACATGCAGGGCTGAATATGGAATCATTTCTACAAAATGTCTGGACTGGTGCAGTCTGTTGATGATATCCCAAGCACGCTTTTTTGCTCCGTATGAGAGGACTTGCCATCTGAGGACAGACTTAATCTGCACTGAGGATCTTACTCCTCAAAGTGGCTGGACCTGTGCCAGCTCCTACTGCCGATGCAGAGAACCACTGTAGTACAAGGCAACGCATTAGAACGAATCCCGGCTTACCCAAGGCAGCCTGTCAGTGACTGGGGGTTCGCAACAGCTCTGCTAAAAACCCCACTGCAGTTTTTCCGTGAGCCCCCCTCTCCACACCAGCAGAAGTTTGCAAACTGGGCTACCCTTCAATTTCTGCCTCATCCACACCGAACACCTTCTGCGCGGGAAAGGTCATTTCACAGCTACTTGCAATTGCACTCAGGCAATCTCTGAATATTTTATCTTTAGTAATAATTTTCACTAGCAATTCATCTTTCAAACGTTGTATCTGGTTGGTGAGTCAAGAGCAGCTTCACAGAGGAAAAATCAAGGCTCTCTGGAAATCCTTTCAAAGGTGCTATGACAACACAGCACAAAACGTTTTCCTCCATTGACAAGCAGCGAGGTACAAATTCTAAAATCTATTTTGCATGAAACCAACCATGTCCAAAGTGCACAGTGAAAACCACTGCCCATTCGCATTGCTGAATACAACACTGCGGAGCTCGTGAATGTTAGCAGCATTCTTCATTCTACAATAGTATATCAGGAAATTAAAACACCTGAACCTCTTATACCTCTCAACTCTCACTGTTCTAAAGGAAAAGAAAAAAACTATTTAATAACTGGAGGTGATGGTTGGTATATTGGCACATTTATGTAAATACAATTGCGGGTATGTAAGCAGAACACCAAGAGATGTGGGTCTCCCTGTCGTGCTTACACACAAGAGCAACAGAACATAATTCAATGACTGCAGCGTATTTGCTGACCACGTTTATCAGACAGAGGCTTAATTTCAATGTATTATTTTCTCCTCCCCATTCTTGAGTTTCCACCTCTGGGAGGATGTAAGAAAATGCAGATCCCTGAGCTGACACTGTCTCCATTGAAAGTTGAGAGGTACGCTACTGTTAGAGCACACATGGGGAATGCACTCAGCAAAATCAAACAAAACCCGAAGCAAAATAAATCCGCCCCCGCCCTTCACCAAACCCAAGCGAACCCGTGCTGCCGTCACACGCATGCTGGGCACAGAAAGCAAGCTGTGACAAACAGAAGCCATGGCAGTGAGCCTGCATCTCACTAACCTCTCTCACTGGCTTTCCAGGGGCATTTCGTCCTTTAGGAACAGAGAGAGGAAGTGGAAGAAATATCAGAAAAGAAAGGAAAAAAACCACACGTGAATATATATTTCATACTGTTAAGAGACACTTCAATTTCCATTTAGGAATTTAATATAAAATAACCGCATTTCTGCTTTAAACAAAGACTGAAAGCGCACTGAAATCCACTGATGATTCTGAGCTGATTTATTCAACAACAGTTCTGTAATCTGCAGCTTGGTTCTAACCTAGCAAAAACACTTGAGAAAACCGCTAAAACCAATTTACAGGCCTTTCAGTTAAAGGATAAGGATGGTAGAGAACATCTGAATTCACTTTCTGAGCATCCAAATTTCCTCAATTTGAGTACTTCTACTAATCAGTATTAGTGGTAAAAAATCATGTTTCATATTAATGGTAAAATCATGTCTCCCCAATGTTAAATTAATTCAACCAGACACTTCACATTTTATTATGGCCTACATACTTATATACAGGTATATGTTCATATATACACATATATGTACACACACATTTTATACCTAGAGCTATACACTGGAATATAATGTGCTCACATTCTAGATAAATATATACCGAAAGATGTTTCCAACAAGTTGATCTGCAAGCATGGTAAAACTGAGGTGGCAGAGGGAGAAAGGGAGAAAAAAAAATCCAAGGGGAAAAAGGGGAGGAGCCATTAATGGGTTTAGCTAAAAAGAAGTTCCTGATGAGCCTTCACAGAAGCCATACTTTGATCATACCGATTCTTCTCAAACACTTATCATAGTATATTTGTTTTTAAAAAAAGAAAGCCAGGTGTCAATCAACAGCAGAAACATGCCCCCGCCCCCATTCCCATCGCGCAGCCGGTGACAATAAGACTCCAGAAGCAGCGTCCCAGTGTCACTGGCACATTACTGCCAGCACTGGTACTGCCAGACTTGCAGTCTTAGGCGAGAAAGTGACTGCGGTAGATGCTGTTCAAGAAAGAGGATGATCTTTGCCCCAGAGCTGTTGTAAATGATCTAATTGCAAATGACGTATGGGACAACGGGGAGAGAGACAGATACATACAGGAGAACACGCTGGTCAGCAGAACAGTAACCTAATTGCTGTAGAGTTTTTTTCTAGGTATGGCAGCCTGCAGGAGAAGGGAAGGAAGGCAATAAATAGCTTTGCAGGTATTTTACAAGGAGCAGAACAAGGGTCAGCAACAGAGCAAAGCTGAGCAGAGGTGGTAAAGGAGAGGAGGAGGGGGCGGAGGAAGTGAGCGGCATCACTGACCACCACAGGGCAGAGCCACCGCTCCACCACCAGCTCCAGGCAATGGAGATGGCTGGGGCAACCTCTGGCAGGCCTGGACAGCAAAGGTTACGATTTACTCAACAGAGGAAGTTTTATTCCCTTCCTTCCCCTCTCCCCAACAGCATACTTACTATTAGAAATAACAACAACAGGTTTGAAGTCACGCTCTGCATGCGGGTTTTTATTCTGGTCCTAAGGGGAGCCTTGACTCAGGTTATGCCTATACCACACGTGCTGGTGGTGCACAGAGGTACCAGAGAGAGCTTGACCGCCAGGAGAGATGTCGCTGCAGTTCTAAGGACTCCACCTTGCAGGCCTGCCTAACTCTCTAGGACTTACATGAGTGCCTACGCAGCCTGCAAACTCTTCTGGCACTTTTATCAGGAGCCATGAATTCCCTAAAAAATGCCTCCCAGGAGGGAAGATGAGAACCTCTCACCAATAGAAATCATGTAACAGAAAATCCTTGAAAATGAAGATATAAAATCCATTGCGTACTTTGGTCGTCTTCTGAGGAAGAGCCCCAAGGTTTAGGTGAGTTAGGTGGTCTACCTAAGGCCTCCAGAAACTGCAGTATCGAACAGCTGGGTGTGCAAGAGTGCTGGGGCATGAATGAGATCCAGCAGAAGACAGTATAGCTTGGATCAAGAGGGGAGAAGGAGCTGCCTACATGCAAAATACTGGATCCTTTTGGAGGTCTTAAGAAATGCCCAACTGTCTGCACAAGCACCTAAAATTGCAGCTACACAGTGTCTAATTTAAATATCTACATGAGACAGACTGGGTTCTGCTTGAAAATGAATGTATTTAAAGGTAACTGGGATAGCTCTGCGCGACACAGAACAGCTGGTGAGGAAAGTCTGTGGTGAGCAATCAGCCCTGGAATTTGTTAAATGCAACAAAGAGTAGCACTACTACACTAAGAGCTAATTTCTTTTGGAGGAAGATTAAAAAGGGTTTAATGGATTTTACTTTATTTTCTTCTTTGCATATGAATGAATGCGTGTCTCCAAGTTTTAAGGCAAGAAGTATGGTTTGGCATAAATTGCAGAGGAAGAAGATTGTCTGTATTATTGCTGTTCTGAAAATTTGTATTCTATAAGGCATCAAAATACTGATACACAATCCATGGGTGCCTAATTATCTATTATTCCTGCTCAAATCAAGATTTCCTGCCCTTAAAAAACAGAAGAGTCTGTCTTTCTTTTTCTTTTTTGGAAATCTACACAACATTGTATCACAGGCAAAGGTACAGAGAGAGTGATCAAATCAAACGTGAAAGCAGAGGCACTAATAAAAACTTCATGCATCTATGCAGATTCAGATCAAAGCAGAGAGCACAAAGCATCTACTACACTGCCAGAAGAGGGACGGGCTGCAGAGGGGAGAGATCTGGATCTGCAAACTGCTTTTCTTCTTAGAAAAAAGTTCCTTGAAGTTTTATCAAATTTATTAACATATTCTCAATTTACATCAGGACTGAGCACTATAAATCACGAAAGATCTAGTCCTCCCCATCACTATCCTAGCAGAAATCTGCAGAGAAGCTCAGCCGCTTCAGTACTCTTGTGCCACAGGGGAGTAATAAGTGATCTCAGTCATGTGGGCTCACTGACGTGGGATGTAGGACCACAGCACAGAGAAGGGGATACAGTCCCGAAGAGGCCAGGGTAGCTCAATTGGAAGAGTACTTCCAGTATACCCTACAGTATAATAACTCCAGGGTACTCTTCCACCGATTCAGTAAAGTGTGAAAGGAAAAGTCTGCGTCAGAAGATGTTTTGTTGTCAGAGAAACTGCATTATTTGCAGTGCTGAAAGTTGCTAGTTCCACTGAGGACATTAGTCCCATTCATGACAGAGCCTGGCTGATGCAAGAGTGAGAGGAGAGAATGTGTCTGGTGTGTTTTTATGTGACTGAGATAAAAATAAAACAAAACTTGTAAAAGATGGTGCTATTCTTAGTGCCATTTATGTATTGCTGTGGGGTGTTGTAATTTCACTGCACAAGACAACACCTGTATTAAGCAATACTATGTTATATAATAATGGTGAGCACCGACCCCTCTCCAAATGTTTTCATGTGATGTCATGGCCTCTTAGCTCTTTTAAGCCATCACGGTCTCATTTCTAACCACTTCTTGGCTCCCACTTCCTCATTATCCACCAGCAAGGGCTCTGCATTAAAAGCCTGGGCGGCTCTCTCACCAACCTCAGTTGGCTCAAGGACTTCTGAATTCCTCTCCGAGCTTCATTCATAGAAAGCATTTGCCACAAAACCATAACCACACAACACAGCCTGGTCCACCATGAGATCCACCTGAAGCAGTGCAACTTGTTTGTCCTCAGTGCTGCAGGAGAGAGGAATTTGGCTTTAAAAATACTGGCCTGCCAATCTTACTTTCTAACTGTGAACCAGTTCCCTGGAGATTTAGTAGCTTGGGCACAAATACAGCGTGAAATGTTTTCCTCTGTGGCCCATTATCAAGCAGGGTCAAATAAACCACTGAGGTGGTATTTAATGGTAGATTTCCACTAAATGTCAGACCTCTGGCTTTCACATATGTTTTGAGTTAGCACAGCAGCTGTTCGAAGCAGCTGCAGCAGTTGTGAATTTGCTGGGAGCAGCAAAGTAAAAGAGGAATGGATGGGAAACCTTGTAGATTAAAAGGAAAGAAAAATTCCTGAAGGACAGCAATCATCAGGTATTCAGCAGAAATTCCCTCTCCAGAAATGAAACAGCTTTCGGCACCAACAGTCAGCTGTGCAAGGAGCATGGAGGTCCTCAGCTCCTTAGGAAATGCCAATAACTGCCAAAAGGTTAAACTGAAGAAACAAAAAAAATACTATATAAGATATATTGTAACACAAGTTATTGCATCTGAGATCTCCTTATGAAGGTCTATGACACGACTTGTTTAACACATGCTTCTCTAAAATACATTCAAAGGGATGCTATGAAGCCTTGATGCCCTTTTAAAAACAACTCTATGCAGCAAAAGCTTGGAAAATATCATAATCAAACTGAGTCTATCTCCAGGTAAGTGACAATTAATTACTACTACATTTTACTGCTTTGTTTCAGAAGTCCAAAATAAGAGCTACTACTTGCTTTATAAAACTATTTCCCAACCTGAGCAAATCTTACTCTTCAGATGCTTTTGATGATATTTAGACTAAATATTTGGGTTTTAATTTGTATCCTGTGATGTTCAACTATACACCTGTGCACCCAAGCACAGAAATTCAGTCCTTTTCTCTCTTCACTGCTTATTCAGTTCTGAACTTTTCTCACGAACCAAAGCCTTCAGAATCCAGTTTGCTCTTGTCATATAGTTCTGCACTCCTCCAAGCTGTCGTTATCCTAATGGCAACAGGACAGCCAGAATTATGTCCCTGATTCAAACGGCATATCAGTCCCTATGCTGTGACATGCTGGAACTGGACATTTAGCTTGAAATTTAACATGCTTATTTTTACAGGCCATTTAATGTCTCATGTAACTTCCCAGGCCTTTTAATACATCCCTAAACTTCCTCAATTGATTCCATGTAGAAATTTCACGTTATTTGTATGGATGTTTGTCCCTTCCTGGATTTCATTTTGTTATTCTCACTTTCAATCTAGGTAGGTTTTGATGTGTGCCCTGTGTCCTCTGCAGCTCTTCTGGAATTGCATGGCCTATGAATATCATAGCAGACTTTTCCTTCTACAGCATTAGTATAGAAATAAACAAAGCTGCTTCTAGTACTAGTAAATCTTGGGCATTTAATCCATTTTCCTTCTAGTTTTAATTCCTAAAGATAGTATGCATCACATGCAGTGCCATTTTACCCAGGTAGTTTGAATTCACCTTTCAAATAATATTTCATAAGCTCCTGTATCACAACACACTTCTGAATGCCAGACTGGGATGACTGAGTTTCTTGCATCTGGCAATTTTTTAATTCTACTTAATAAGAATTAATATAAGAAAATGTATTCTTTATAGATCTGTGTCATTGCTTGTTTGGGCTTATTGTTCTGTTTCCTGAATACCTACAAATAGCTTGAGATTCAATGCAATCTGTAATGCAAAGAAATAAAATATTACTTGCACCACGTCTGAATCCTTACACTATGCCCTCTTCTCAGGCTGCTTTGCCAAACTGCTTTCAGTCTTTTGCAATTACACTTTGATCTTTTATTATAGATTGGAAACGTTAGATACAGATTTCTCAACAGATCTCAACAGATCTCTCAACAGCAAAAAGGCCCCTGATTCAGTGGTTTGTTGAGACCACTCGACCCTGCTTCCTTTTCTCTTTCCTGCAGTCCTGTAAATTGTAAGTCATATCCCTGACGCCCATGGAATCTGACTGACCACAGCATCCTTCATCTCACAATGAAGGTCTACATGAGGCTGCGGCAAATTAGCTGTGGATGTAAGCTTGCTTTATGCGAGTATCAGTTGAACATCATTTAATCATTAAAACGGAGCAGAAAAAACTCCAATAACTAAAGTTTGCACGAGAACTCAGCAAAATTGACAATGTCAGTAGCCTTCTATATCAACGAGTAAATGGAAATCCATTTGCACTGGCTGTAGGACAAACTATTTCTCACAGAGGGCCTGATCATTCCTATTCCTCAACAAAAAACAACTATACAAACCTGGTGTTGGCGGAAATGCATCAAAAGATACATGACAAACAGAGAAACCTAATCGAGATCCTAATCTCTTCAGCCAAAAACCTGGTACAATTCTCCAAAAAGTGAATGACTTTTTCCCAGATGGACTAATCTTTTTGTGTAGCCAAAGAGAGAGGAAGAGGCAGATTCTGGCTCAGCCTGAAAGTGCCTTGGTCAGGCCCAGAAGAAAAGTCCTGTGGGAGACCTGACTCTGCCTGACGGCCTAGGCCTGCTCCTGGCTGCTGCACCAGCAGCTCCTCTCACGGCTTGGCTGAGGAGGACAGAAGAAGACACATGTCAAACAAAGACTGTGCCTCCTCCTCACTCACGGCCCTCCACGCAGCTAGAGAGTATTTTTGTCCTCTACGGCTGCTAGCCAGGCAGGAAAGCGTATAAGCTGCAATCTCTTTTAGGGATGCTTGTGATCACATACTGCACTTTTAACATAGTTACTGAATGGAGAAACACAATAAGGGAATACATTCTTTCCCTGTATTTAAATGACCACATTTTGCATCACCAGAATGAAAATGTGAAGTTATAGCTTAACTTAAGGAATTAAAATATTAACTGATGTAACCCATTTCAAATCTTTTTTTTTTCCACTAAACTTTATATTCTGTCATTTTGATTCATGAAGCTTTGTCTTTTTCACTAATAAAATAAAATTAAAACCTTTTCTATTCTCAGTCAGTAGGGAGTGATACCTAACAGACTGATCTCTACCTATTTATGCACAGGAAACGAACCACTGTATTTCAAATATCTCATTAACTGTTGTTTCGCAAATTGCTCCTATTTTACTTAAAACTAAGCTTGTTTTTAAAAAGAAACACTGCTTGTCAGTGTCATCAGCTATAATTTCAAATTAGACACCACATTTGGTGAGTATCGTAACACGTGGGGTGTCTACATCTAGACACGTACGCTTACGCAAGATCTCCTAAATACAATATATTTACACAAATGATGGTCACTGATAAGAAAGCACTGTCTCTTGCAACCTTGTGTACACAGCAACTTTAAAAATAAGTAAATTTTTATCTACATACTAATATTTTAAAGATTTTTCATCTGTTGTCTCTGATAATTAATATCGAGGAAAAATGAGGGCTGGACATATGAATTTTTCATATAATATTGAGGTGGAGATGAATGTAGTTAGCAATATACTGTATTATATTTTCTTCAATAATATCTTTCTAAACGATTCCATCTTTTAATCTATAGCATGAAATCTTATGCGGTTTTACTGCCTTCTCCTTTTCCACCGCTCACAGATGATGCCTGGCGAGAGCTGAGCTTGCTTTGAAATCAAAGGATGGAGAGAACTTGACTTCACTGAAAGTCTGACATGATGGTTAATGCATTTATCCACTAAAGAAGAACCTCTGGGTGATATGTGAAACCTGTGCAAGGGGCCCTGCAGTACGTCTATGCCCCTACTGAAATCCACTTAGCAGCCTGTCAACAGATACCGGGACTTTCTTTTGCCAAGTGGTTTATGTCTGAGCCTTCTTTCACAGCAACAGGTAATATCCCAAACTTCCCATCTCCTGCTAGGAATCTAAGCCATTTTTCTTGGCAGCGGAGTACCTTCTCTGGCTCATAAAAGACCTTCTTAAATGAAAAAAGGTTGAACAAATAAATCCCAGTAATACAAATGCTTATCTTCAGCAAACAACAGGAATGAGCAAAAGGGAAACACTGAAAGAAATGCTGTGACTGTACGCACAAGCGCAGCCTACGCTGCACAAACAAGCAGCCCAGTTGTTTTTCCTCCATCACTCCGGACTCAAGTGCTACAAGGTCGAGAACTTTGACTCAGAACTTTAATATTATTTCAAACTATTTTTTTCTTGGAGAAAGGTAAGGACAGAAGAAAAATGTGCTAAGACATGTATTAAAAATAAATCAGCAAAGGGACTGACTGAAAAGGAGAAAAGCTGTGAGAAAAGAAACATGGCAAAACGGCAGAGAAGAAAATGCTCAGGAAAAAAGAGTCTCAGACAGACATTGTTTCATCCACGTATCTAGCAAGGGCTACCTGTGGAGGTAGCTTAAGGTAAAGGAGGAGCAGGCTGCTTCTCCACTCTAAGTAAGACAGGTTTCTCTACAGCTATTGTTAAAACGAAAACAAAGAGCAGCAAAAAACCTGAAACTAAAACATAACCCCCTGAAAACATCAAGGAACAGAAAGCACTTTTATCTTCTTCCCTCTCATCTGCCACGGGCAGCAGCGCTCACCTCTGGAACTGGGGAAGGAGTTGTTCAGCTGCTCCATCACTTCCTCCAACCCTGTGCTTGTGTCCTGGGGAGGGCTGAGCAGCTCATCCTCGCCTGGAAAGCAAGTCCACACCACTGCGTGAGAGCCACTATAAAACCATTTGTTAACAGCTTGCTATTGCATATGTCCTTCATGAAGCTAAGGCTGTTCACTTAAACACATTTTCTGCTCAGTGTACAACCAAAATTTTAAAGGTGGATTTTGCTGACTATTATGCTTGTCTTTCTTTTTAAGGATCTAAGTGAAATTAAACCATGAATTTTAAGCGATTAACACTGACTTTAATTCATAAAAAGGGATTTAAGAAATAACCTACTCTGGTAGAAGAAGTGGGGTAAAATGTCTGCTAGGAACATTTAGTTCCATAAATGACACTCGTCGTTTCAGCTTCTATTAATGGAAAAAGAAATTGCTGTTGTGAGTGCTGCTATTGAGCAGCTTTCTAATAGTGCTGGATTCATGTTAGCATTGCTTTGCCTAGCTGCGTAAATCAGTAGAAACCCAGATTCTCATCTGCATCAGTATTAATATTTCTGACAGTTTAATTGCATCAGATTGGTGCTCCAAGAACATTCAATTGTACTGTAAAAGGGTTTAGCAGCAGTTTAATAAAGTGAAATACATTTCTCCCACTGAATAATTTCTATAACCTGATTATAGGGCAGCAGCTTAATGGGAAATTCAATACATTTTAGTTTTACTGGGGTTTTTTTGGTCATGGTTTCAGATAACTAAAATCCATATGTTGATTTTACTGTAGACCCTAGCCTCCAACACAAATAAAGCATCTGGAAAAAAAATACACCTAAAGGATACACTTTGAGTGAGATTCTCCTTTTTTACTATATTTCTTTAATCCCTATTAAAACACAAAAGCAATTTTGCCTGCTGTAATAACCATGAGAGGTACAACCTTACTTTGAAAATGACTTAACGATCCTTTATTCTAACCTGTCTTGCCCTACTCAACTTGAGTAATAAACTGCCTGATTTTCTGTTAGCATTTACATTCTTTAAACATTGAAGTGCTCCATGCTAGTGGAAAGCCTACTAGAAGAGATGCTAAAGGAACACTTCAGGACTGCATACATTTCCTGTTATTAGGCTTAGTGTCAGCCTCACCTTAGGGCCAGGAGTTTCACAAGAGTTATTACTGATCGAGAGTAATTTTTCCCACTCAGTACAGTAAGTGGGGTAAAGTGTCTGCAAGAAGCACTTAATTCATATAAGTGATGGTTTTTGTATCAGCTTCTTTTATTCCATTAATCGTCTAAAAATAGCTGATGAGACTGCTTGCAGTTTGTTCAGCTTTCGACTGGTGCTGGATTCACACAAATAAACTCACACCATGAGTTACTTTTGCATCAAGTGTTGCGCTGACAGAGGTGCCTTAGCAGAAGTAACATCTTTCCAGCCTCTGCTGGATGCCAAGGTGAAAACTCAGAGCGAGATCTTGCTGCTTCTACCCAGGCCAAGGATCTTATCAGCATGCCTGCAGAAAACCACCTGGCCCTAAAGACTGAAAGAAGAGGGCAGTGGTTCTGCTGTCCTGGCCAAGAAGAACTGAGGGCAGGTACTGATTTCCAAATGTCATGGTAAGTGCTGATACAAACTGAACTGTGTTTACCGTATCTTTTATTTAAAATGCATTATTTTTATTTTTTCTCATTTGGATGATTTTTCTGAGCATTTCCTTGTAAATGACAAAATAAGACATTGGCCAAGCAACCTGACAAAAGTAAAGATACCTTCAGACCTCAGTTACCTTTCTTTACCCAAAACAGTCTTCCCCATTCATGTTTCTACAAAAGGTTTGGAGAGCTGGGTGGGTCTCAAATATTCTGGTGGTACCTCAACGAATTAAAGTTCAGCAACAACCTCTTGGCTCACATGCCTCAGAGAACCTTCTCTGCTGCTACATTACTGGGGGAGAAAGGCCAAAGATCAGGACTTTCCCGTTAGGACTCTATGAGAAGAAAAGTAGAACCTTTCCCCTTGCCCAGGTGTATTTGAGGTTATCAAGGAATAAGCTTTTCTATTTGTAAATTAGGATCTGACTGGGTTGCTGCTTTTACCAAATGGCTGGACAACACTGCTGGTGGAAAACCTTTTACAGTAATCTCTCCTCGAGAAAGCAGAGAGACAGAGAAGTACAGTGGGTCTACATTCAAATTAAAAAACACTAAGGTCTCCTTTCAAAAAGAAAAATATATAAAAGCTACCACTATATTACCTCTTTGCCTGAGAGACCTAGAGATCCTCAGTGTTTTCTTGAAAATGGTGACTCCCTCATTACTGGGTGCATGCCTGCTACATGGGAGCATTATTTACAACACCCCTCTGGTTCCCTTCACAATTCAAGAGTATTTTAATTTCCGCTTCAGAAAACTCTCAGGCTAGCAAGCAAAGCTTTCAGGTGTGAAAGGAGACTCGACAAACTAAATTAGTTGCTCATTGTTAGCTCAGTTAGTAATTCTTTTTATAAGCTCTGCTCCGTGCTGCCAACAGTGTTGCTTTGCCGAGTCTCAACACGATCATACTGATAATGATTCAACATCTCACTGTCCTTCCACGTATTTGCTCAATCGAACAAACAAAAAACCGCAATTCATGTCTACATATTTGCTTGAAATAAGTTTTAGCAGTTCATATGACTATATGCATGTTAAATAATTAATTTCAGTCTCACGAGTTAAATGGGAATAATTTTATATAGAGTCAAATGAAAAGAAGTGCCTTATTGTATGTTGTCCTACTAAACAATAAAATATGAAACTACAAGACTTTTAATAAAATGGCTGGGAACCACCGTCTTCCAATCTTTTCTTGTGTATTTTAATTAACATATTTTATGTGATGAAATTCATGCCATTTCTTCAGAAAGCCATGAAAATTACTCCACTGATACATTTTGTCTACTCTGTTGCAAAATATGTACTCACTAGTAACACGATGAAAGAAAGATCCAAATGAAATTGCTGTTACCTGTGACTGTACTCTCACCCCCAGGATTTAACTTAAGCATTCTAAAGGTAAAATTTATTTCACATTTTTTGTTGTAGGGCATACAGAACTCGTCTTGTTTGATAATGGCACAAACTGACGTTATTGCCTACGCTCAGGGTGGAAGAAAAACCCCCTGAACAAGCTCTATCTCCCACCACGATGGCACTTCAGACAAAGCAGAATGTCTCCTCCCGTTCAGTTTCTCACTGTCATTGACTCTTTCACTAACCGCAGTGAAGAGAAATACTCTCACTTAAGCCTCTCGCTCTCCCCCAAAGCCTCTCTCTAATATACGCTAAATAAATTTATGTGTATGAAGCTGAATATTATCACCAGACTTCAAATATTATCTTGTTGAAGTAATTTAAGTACATTTGCTTAAAGATGCTGCAACGGTTGATTGCTTTTTTACTAGCAGAAAATCCTTTCTACTTGGTAATAAATACTTACTAATTATAGGAAATTAGGAAAATGCTAGAGAGAAGTTACTAAAAGTACCAAAATAATAATAATTCCAGCCTCTAGCTACAGAATATTATTACTCAACCTTACTTCACAACTGATATGATGTTCATTATCACATCTGATGTGATATGTAGAAAAGACACTAGATGAGCACTGCCTATGAGTGACAGCTCAATCCTACTGATTGAGTCATGACATATTAAAAATAAGATCACATCATTTAACATAGGGATGATTAATTACATATTTAATCTCTTAGCCATAATTAATACTGTCTACATTTAAATCAGCCATGTCATGCTTAATAGCTGAAAGTCAGTTTGAATAAAATAGATTTTTAGTGATATTTGTTTTCAGAAGTCAAGCCCTGGCTGAGCTTTGTGTTTAATGTCAAAATACCCATGCTAACTGTATGCATCATGATCAACACCAAACCCCTGAACCATAATGAAGATGTAAACAGCCAGATGACATCAAAGGCCACTGCAAACGTCTACTTCATTCTCATTTGAACTAAACAGAAGAGCAGAGTATTTTCCATCTTTAAGGATTTTTTTTCCTGGAAAATGGGACTATAACTATTTTTTATGACAATCTGAACTCCGTTATCTTACCCATGGTTTCTGAAGTCTGGCTGCCAACTACACGAAGAAGCATTGGCTGACTGCTGTCTGACCTCTGCAAAGAGGTAGAAGGAGACGACAGTGTTGTACCATTCACTTTGGCATCTGCTTGCGGCTGAATATTGAAGAAAAAAAGAAGAGATTGTTACTAACAGCTCAGTACAGTTGCACAAATCTTTATATCTCTGTATTTTTTTATTTATTCCATGAATATCTACAATTTTCTGTCTGTTTTTAAGTAAATACATCCATGCAAACACTGGATTTGAATTCTGAATAAAACAAGGAAGACGACTAAATAAGAACACTGAAAATTGATTTCACCTTCTCGCTTGCAGCCTGTAGAACAATTTCATCTTTTTCTCTGACTACCCTCTACAGATAGGAATTCTCAGTCTGTTGTCGTTATTGATAACGCTTCACACCCTGTTTGGAAGATGACTCTAGAAGAGAGGCCTGAGGACTCACCTGCTCCAGCAGCTGCCTCAGCCTGTGCAGCTGCGACTCCAGCTGTTTGTTGTGATCCTCCAGTATCTGCATCCTGGCCTCCAGGCGGCCCTTGTGCTGGCGAAGCAACTTGGCTTCTGCAATGAGCTCAGCATCCCGGGGGCTTTGCGGAGAAACCGGCATCATCTCCGGTGGGGATGGCAGTGGAGACAGTCCTTTGTGGTCATGCTGTTGCTTCAAACGGTCATACTCTGCCTGCAAGTTTCTGTTGAGAAGTAAGAAGGAGGTAATACAAAGCCGAATAGGCAGTGCAGGCTACCCTCTGCGTGGGGCAGTGAGAAGGCACTTCTTCTCGTCTGATGTGATGTACCTGACTGCTGGGGGGCAGAGGCTCACCTGCACCATCTGCCTTTCATTCCGCTGAATCCATGTGAGTGTAGGCTTACACCTCGCAGATTTGCACGGAGCTGATATTATAGGGACCTGTGATACAAGCATTGCCTAAAGGCTCTCTGCGTCACCAGAAGTCACAATTAATTCCCTTCCAGGGCACGCGATGCAGAAGGCTGGCTGGGCTCCAGACACCCTCCCGAAGCCTGGGTACAGTCTGTCCTGAGCTCAGCCCTCCCTCGGCTTCCTGCGTTTTATCCTTCCTAGCAGAAGTCGGACTGCCTGTTCGCTTCCATGCATGAATACACTCGAGGAGTAATTAGTGCTAAAAGAGGACTTTGAGTGATCAAAGCACTTTACAAACACTAATCAAAGCGGACGCCACCTGGCTAGCCTATCTGTTTTATAGATGAGAAAGCTAAGACAGAAAGCCGGCCCAAAAAGTCGGAGCAAAACACAGAACTCAAGAGTTCATTTGCAACTCCGCTGTCGTCAGTCAGGTCACATCATCCTCCTCTCTTCATACTCGCAACTGCATTTCCAGCCTAGCTCTAAAATTACTAACCCAAGATGAGGAAAAGACAAATTAGTGAGCTAATCTGGTAAACTACACTGCACTAACTTTTGGGGCTGTAATTTCCATCTTCATTTGGACTGCCCTTTCTAGAGTGTTGCAGTCTACTCTAACTTTATGACACTGCTAGGCCTGTTCTTTTATTCCAGTTTTACTCCAGGAAAACACTCCATAGATTAATATGATCTATAGTGGCCCACATGAAAAAATATCCACCAAGCAGGAAGACCACAGAAGCTAAGAAACTGAAACCTTGTTAGGGATAACACAGACCAAAACTGCAAAAATAGTAACTTGTAACAGAAACTTTGTAGACAAGGGAGGCCTAATAAACTGCACTGGGATTTTGTTGCTATGATGTTCCTTTACAGCTTCCCAGAGGGGGGGAAAAGTGGCTCGACACCCTGGTAACTGCTTACTCATCACAAGCAGTGACCCAGATTTTATTTTTTCCAACTCGCTCTTATTTGAGGTTGTGAGAACAGGCACTTTTTGCCAGTTCTGCCTGCAAATCACAATACACACTGACAGTTTGCTCTGGAGGCTTAATAGCACCTCAGAAACCTCCCAACAAACTTTATTAAGCTCTGAAACACTTCTGAAGGTAGGTTATTGTGACCAAAACAAGAACTAGAACAGCATGCATCATTTCACATGGATAAGGAGGCAATGCCAAGGACAAGGACAGGCTACTGACCGTTCTTCAAAGGTACTTGTGCCCCTCAGCAGCTGCATGATGCACACGTCCTAGCCTGGGACTGTAGCACCCCCCCCACCCCCCCACCCCACCCCCCCGAACACGATCCCTAAGGGATGTCTGACCCACATGATCCCTCCTCTGCAGAAGCTTTGAAAGGTTAAAAAAAGTCATTGATCATTCTTAACTTCAGGTTGTCCCAAAATTCAAGATTTCTTTCTTTAAAACCCACACAAAGAGGGGAGGCTACGGAGAGTTTTTTTTCAAAGAAAGTTTTTTGTTTTAATGAAATACAGAGTTTCAAGTCCATGAAAATTATCTGGAAAAGAGAAAGAAGGGCTACAGTGGGTGTTGCCTTCCACATGACTTAATGTCTTCTGATACTTCTAGCTGAACGAACTGGTGAATAATTTATAAAAATACAAAAGGGAATAGGAACGAGCATGACAACAGTATCACACATGGTCTTATTGCAGACTAAAGTTTATACAGGATTGATCATTAAGCTTGTTTTTCACAAAGTCTGCAGATAGCGGCTATTGCTACCCTGTGAGGAATTTCCCAGATGTACGATACAGGCAATACTCTACCAACAGCAGACTCAAAACTTTGAAGTGCTGTAAAGCGAAAGATAAAATATCACCCTAAGGGAAAATAAATAAATGCACTTGCTCACACTTACAATGTAATCAGGTACCTTGCTACAAAGAAATCTACAATTATTGCCTCAACTATCAATATAGAGAAGTCCTTCCAGTAACTATGGCACTGAAAAACAAGTGAGGACCAGGGAGTAATTCAGATAAAAATTCATGTCTGATACAATATAGTTAAAAACTCTTTCTGAAAGCCTACAGAAAAAAAAAAATTGTAAAGGATACTGCATATTATCCAAGCAGAAATATTTCTGAATTTGTGAGTTCTGTAATTAAATGCAGTAATATTGTTGGTACAAAGGCATGTTGTTTTGAAGGATGCATGTGAGTTTGCCCAGAGCACCCATGTCACTCTGTTTTCCAGCTGCACCTTTTCAGTCCAGCTGCAGAGTCCTTAGTCCGGGGGATTAAGACTCATCACAGCAACCTCTTTCAGAGCCGTAAGAGTGATGCGGAGTGCAGACGATCAATAATATCATAATAATTGGGATCTAACACACAGGAACAAAGATCTGTATTAACATAGGGGGAAAAAGCTGAAAAGTAAAAAAGAAAGGATTTGAATGCTGCTGTAAGAATATCCTTAGAATAGGAGAGAGCAATCTGCTCTTATTCCTACCTCTGGAATAGTTTTAAGCTGTGCAGTGAAAAAGGATTGCTGCTGCAAGCCAGGAGTCCAAGGCACTGCCCACAGCCCTCGGAGTACAGCCTCTGTGTCCCAAGGAAGAAAGGTGCTCTCTGACATTTTCAGCATAAAATGGGAAGTAAGAGAAAGGGGATAAAAGCATAATCCTCTAAATGAATGGGACTGAGCAAGCACAGGCAGTACTGGGACACCCAGCCTCCCTCCACCATAGCTCAGGCTGGGTGACTTTTACATCTGGCTGTCACAAACAAACAAGCTGCTGCATCTTCTGATCACTGGGAAAATATATTCTACTTCAGTAAGAGAAATATTCAAAGAAAACCCCATATATTCTATTTACTATGCTTGCACCTCTTTGAAGCATTCATGAAGAAAAATAACAGAGGAAGCAAGCAATGTAACCCTGATTTATGCAACTGTAAAGAGCTGGGTAGTAAAGAGCTCATGAGCTATTAATCACATCTATCGCTGGCAGCATTAATTGCCTGGTGACGGAAATCCTAGTGGACTCCATTTGCTGAGTAGCCCTCTCAGAGGCAATTGAGAGTTTGTGAATTCATGTTATTTTTCATCTCCCTGCTTCGAATCAGTGATTTGAAGAAAGGGACAAAGCTGGTAACTGAACCACCTACCCCTGTCCCTCACTAGAGTGCCAGCATTTACTGATGATGCTTCACACTCAGAAGATCTAGTTCCACTTCTCCAGTGCCAAAATAAACACCAAAAGGAGCCACGGCATGTTTAGAAACGCATCACTTTCCCGCTATTGGCAACTATACAGAAGGAACTTATTTGAGGAGGCCATTCATCAGTCTTCAGATTTGAAGGAACACTATAGCTGCACGGAAACAGGGCAGCTTTGGGATTCGGGGTATTAGCGCTTCTCCAGTGGCACACAGCCCACTGCGCTCCCGGTGCAAGTCAGGGAAGCAAAGTAAAGGCAAATAGCTCTAGCTGGAGATCTCATTTACTAAGTTCTTGTTATAGCACATCTAGGAGCTGGGAGGAAAACAAGTGAACGTGAGAGAAGTCTCCCTTTTACAGAAGTATGTCAGTGATCTCAATTCAACTAAAATATTAAGAAATGTTCACTTTCTTTAGTCATTAAAATAGCAGGAAAGTATTTTAATTCTTTGCAAAAATTCCTGAGTCTCTGTCACTGCAAAACCTTATGCTTTCTATTTAATGCTAGTACAGTACATCCTAGTCAGTATAACCTATCCTACAGTATAACCTCTGTAATGTACCTCTGTAGATGGACACCAAAAATCTGTCTTTTCTGTTTCTGAAATATATTTACTCTTAAGGAAATTTCAAAATGTTTTGGGGACAGTTTTATAATTGGGTTTTTCTCTTATATTGCAATATAGTAATAGTGCCTTCCATAGCAAGATTACTTTATGTCTATTGAACACATAAGAAATGGTCTTATCACAATATTCCATGTGATGTAAAACTGAGCATGAGTCTGAAGGCCTAATACTCAAATGGAACATTTTCACCAATTGAAAATATTCTCTAAAATGCTCACATTTTAGCAAATATAAATTATTTAACAGTGAAATTTTAGCCATAAATTATTTAATGAAGTCATATTTGCAAGCCACAAAAGCAGCGCGGTCTCGAAATGCTAGCAGATAAATAATGAATATCTAACAAAAGGTCCTTGGAAATGAAAAAAACCCCAGTCAGAACTGTGTCACAGCTAGGTTAGTTTATAAGTCAGATAATACATTGCAGAAGAATTCAAAACAGGCAACAGATCTTTTTAAACTGTCCAAAAGCAAAACCTCAGAATTACAATTTCAAAGAGTCTTTTTCAGTTAAGTAACAAGTCAAGATGGAAATATTTGGAGACCAGAAACTGCAGTTAAAAACGAAATGGACGTCAGAATTCAATAAAGAGTTCAAAAGAGACGAAGAAAAGTCAAAACACAAAGGAAAAAAGAGAAGGGCTTTTTTAAAAAGCAGGAGACTGTGGAGAGCAGAGGAATAAGAGAAATAACAGTGAAGTGTTTTGAATATTGTAGTATTGCTTCTTGTTGGTACTTGGTGCAGCTTTCCCCAAAACTGCTGAGAAGTGACTGCATGTGCTGACTCTTAATTGTAAAATAATACAAGATATAGCAGAGAGAGCTAAATCTTCATTGTCAAAAATCATCAGAAGTGCACGCAACAAAAGCTGGTCAACATGGGCAGGAAAAGACGACTGTTCATCTAACACTGCTAGCTGCCCAGCCGCTTGCCTTCCCAGGCATAAGCATCACGTCCAGCTCAGCACCGGCAAGGAGACGCGCTCTGGCCACAAGACCTGAAGTATTTACAATGGAAATTAAACAATCCAGGTGCTTTAAGGCTGGGCTGAGGACCGAGCGGTCACAACGTGATTTGCATCATGTTCAGCTCATTTCCAAGCAACAGATTCACTGAGTCTTCATGCTGCAGCAATAAACAACGTTTGCTCAGAGGGCATTTTTAGGATCAGCATGGGAAGGAATACATGTTCACCCACTGGACCTGGCTTCATACAAGGAATTAGGTCCCGGGTTGTTGACTACCTTTGGCAACAGCCAAAAAAGGTTTGCACAAACTCAGAGGAGAAAAACTAGAAAATAGAAATCTAAAGGGACAAGACTGTTTTTAAAGGTAGATAAGTTATATGAATGGCTCCTGACTGACCCTGTCTGAACGGCTTATTTTTCTAAACAGGAATCAGTGTTTCCTCCATAAAATCATAGTTATCTGGCTGTGACAAGCTATCAGGACAACAAGAACTTGTTCGCTTTTCAGCATCCACCTCACATTTTAAGTACAAGTTATTTATAGCCGTTTGCAGAGACGAAAGTCGTGATTTTGTCATAATCAATGAAAATCACAGCAGTGTGACCTCCACGCTGTCCTACAGAAATAGACCTCTCCGTCCCTGCTGCATTGAGACCTGAAGCATCCACAAAAGGTGAGGTTGCTTGTGGTGGCATCCCATCCGTAACTGTGCCTCCAGTAGTACAAATGAGAAAACAACAGGCTATAACCAAGCTTACAGTCTACAGCTCTTGTTTAATCCAGGATTGGCAAACTTCAAAACTGGTATTTTTAAGGTGTAATTCCTGTCAGAGATCTTTTAACGTACTATTCCTCATTAGTAGTTCTTATATTAAATAATGCTCATACTGAAACACAAGGCATAAACTCCGAAAAGGAATTTTTTAGCCTATTTAGCTAACTGCAGGTTATACTAATGTTCATATACCACATTTCTCATCTAAAACGAGGCTGCTTTAAAAGCCATCCTCCTTTCTGGTGGGCAGCTTATTTTGTATACAGACAGAAAAGCATTATGATTTTTTTGTCCTTCCTAGTACTGTTTAAAAAAGTAACACCCCTCCCCTGCAAACTAAGCTATTTTACTATCTGTACGGTACTAGTTACACAATATTTCTTAACTACAGAAGTCCTGTATGCAAACTATGATGGCTTACTTCAAAATACTGATTTTCCTCCACTTTGGAAAGTACTTGGGCTTTATGTACTATGTAGTAGGAAGTCTGAGGTTTGTTTCAAACAAAATCTCGCTGATGTTCGGAGAGCAAGAGCTTTGTTTGCTACAGCTTTCTGTCCAAAACACTTTCCTCATCCTTTACGCCTATTGATCCTCTACATTCTCCCAAATCCTCCTGAAAAAATGTTTTTGAACCTTCCTCTCTATTTCTCACTCTCCAGTTTATTATTATTTATATGTCTGCCAGACATTGTGCCAGCGTTTTTCATGCAGGCATAAACATAATCTCCAGGTGTTTTCTCTGCTACTAATTCCTCATAGAAAGCAGTTAGATTTTAGCAGTTCAATCTTCAACTTAACCTGGCCAGAAGATTGTGTATTCTGAACAGAGAGAGGGTGCAACACAACTGGAAACACGAGGGCATGAGAAAATAATGGCAGGTTAAAAAAAATAACTCTTACAGCAAAACACACCTTTAAAGAAAAAAGCATGTGTGAAACAAACTATTATTTAAATTAGTTGCCTCTGCCTCTGGAGATGTATAGAGATAAGTCTACAGAAAAATAAAAGCTGGTAGTTACAGACAACAGGCTCTTTCCTCTTCCTGGTTGAAGCATATTACTTATACAGAAAAACAGACTTAATCTGCAGAGCAGTAGCTGATGCACTTCCAGGAGGTAGATCTAAATCTTCCTCCTATTCTAGGTGACAAAATAGCTTATTTCAGGCTTCTCCATGCCAAAACCAACTCGAGCTGTTCTGCAAGTCAAGGCTCTGCTCTTTGTAAAGAAGTCCCAACCACAGTCTCACGGAGATGGTGGGGTGATGGAACCACTATAATTGATTAGTATCATCCAAAGAAGACTTATGCATGGAGACAAGATCTGACACTGTCAACTCTTGCATTATTTTCTTGGACATGCCTAAGGTAAATATTTACTGCATTAAACCCTCAATGTAAACAAAAGTACCTAGCTCTTAAGGAAGAAAGAAAAAAAGAGCATGAAAATGCCGATAGACTTTACCATGAAAGCGGAAGATAGCAGAAGGCAAGTAAAAACTTTTTTTTTTTTTTTTTTTTTTAGATCTAAATGATTTCTATCTTACAGTCTAATTTTGGCAATTCACGGTTGCAATTATGAATCTGCTAGGGTCAATATCTACCAGTTCTTATGCTGATGGCCCAAGACTCCAGTGTATGATAGAAAGAGGACTGCAGTGTTGTGATGCTGCAAGAATGCAGTCAGGAAGTTTTTTGTGATGAAGATAACTTCACTTAAACTTGAAATTAAAAGTGGTAAATGATATTTGATATTGAAAGGCTAAAGAAATGGCAACAAATAACACCAAACAAACAGAAAGAGAAGAGGACCCAAGTTTTAACCACCATGAAAGAACTAATTTGTCTGATGAAAATGCAACTTTATAATTCATTTTATCCCTAAAAATGCTGTTAAAGTGAATTCCATCTAACTGTACAGAACAATTATTTCACAGATTCTTTACTTCAAATGAATTGAGGTCATTTCAAAACCTCATGTACCCCAGTGGCCAACCTTTTTCAGAAAAGCCTGTCTTTCCAAGAACTTCTGCCTGTCTTTTCCAGACAGAGGTGCAGAAATCTGCACACTCTTCCTTTTCGTAACAGCAAAATAAAGTAACACTAGCATGGAGCTCATTACTTTCATGGAAATAAAGGAAATGGTAGAACAGAGGGAAATATGAGACACAGCCATCAGATCTTGTCAGGGGTGGCACTATGAGTATTAGGTGACCCACATATGTCTTTGAAGCTTGCCATTTTGGAGGTTTTGTGAAAGAAACAGTGCTGACTCATCATTGCACTGGAAGTGGGAACGAGTTATGACAATATGATGTCAGCCTCATCACTTACAGAGAGCCTTCATTTGCCCCCGCAGTGCGGGCCTGAGGGCTGCGGCAGCTGGTGGCGTCACCCACCTGTTTTCCTCCTCCAGGTCCGCGAGGATTCTCTCCAGTTCCCCTCTTTCCTCACTCTCCAGAGAAATCAGGATCTGGGCAGGGCTCCGGGGCTGGCTCAGGGGGGACTCCTGGTTCAGACTTTGGCAGTAGTGCTGGATTAACAAGTGTTCATCATCACTGGAAAACAGAGGATAAAACAGGCTGTTCCCTTCCTCATTTTTAACTTTGCAGTGAATACGAGGAGATGATTCACTCCCAGTCTTTCATTTCTTACAAAGAGATTTGCTGAACTCTTTGTAATGAACAGCAGAGCAATGTACCTTCAAGCAAAATCTGCTGAACTATTTCACTTAGTCTCTGATAATTTTCCTTCTCTGCAGAGTCCACCTCTCTTACTCTCCACTTCTGCAGATACTTCAAGCCAAGTTTTGCCACAGCTGACAACCTCAGCTTTTCTCTTTTGCCTAACTTCAATTAGGAATTCGCTTAAGAAAAAATGCTGTCTGCTGCTGCCTGATCTGTGTTGTGGAAGGGTCATTCAAGCAAAGGCAAGGCATTTAATTTTACACCTACAAACTTTCCTTATGTAATAAAGGTGTCCTCTATCTATTTTTCTCTGTAAAATTGTAAATGAGGTGAAATAAAAAAATACTGACTTAATCTAATGAAATTACACTATTTTTCACTGAATGTTTTTTTTTTTTTTTAAATTCCAAGTGATGCACACTGTCAGAATACAAATATATTCTATTTAATACATATATATGATCTCTTTCTTTATTTCTGTTGGCCCCGAAGCTGTTCAGCATTTGAAACAGAAACATCTCTGGAAGAGAAAAGCAAATCCAATTCTGAAGACCTTGGCCACCTCCCAGAATTACATGGGTGTTTCAGGTGCTAAGGAGATGCATCCAGGCTCTAAGCTATGCAGCTCACACCAGCAATAACTGTGAGAAACCATGGAACGTTTCTCTTGACACCACAAGTCAAGGACAGAAAAAAATGACACTGCTGTTGGGAATCTTGTTTTTCTGGTAGTACTTACTTATAACAAAATAATTCAGTCTAGTTTTTTTCTGTTACGTTTGCAATCCAGAATTTAACAGGCATTTTGAATAGCTCTTATTGTTTAAAAATTAGAACTTTCCTTGTTTCCACTTTGTTCCTGAAAATGTTAATGATGCCATTTTATAGACTGCAGGAGTGCTAAAGCAATGTAGAGCACATTAACATTAGTTCATAAAAGGGAAACACTAATTTTTCACAACAGGCATCCTTTCCTTTTTTTAAACAAAATTTTAAAGGCTTGCCAGTTCCTCAATTTACACTTGTCATGAAACACTTCAACAGTGATTTCCTTCAAACAACTACTTTGCATTTATAAATATCCTTATGCATCTTAAGTGAATTAACAGTGAAAAAGTGGCATAACTATTGCAACATAAAGTCACTTTGCAAGAGGTACTCTTTTTGTGTGATTTTCAGCCTGCACATACTTTGTATATATAACTGCAGTGACACTACACATTGAAATGTTTTGTGGTATACATACACATTATCTCTTTATTTCCCTCCTTCCCTGTCTCCATCTATTGCTCTAATTGCAATTATAAGCCAAATAATCCAAAATCCGTAAGAATATCAACAAATAATACCTAAGCATAACCTGACAAATAAAACTGAAAGAATTACAGTTGCAAATTCATGGTGAGCTTTGATGTTGCTGCAATTTATATCTGGATCATATTTCTTCCAAATTTCAGAATGTACAGATTTATTCTCATTTTAATAGTACAAACTGAGTAACAAACTGGATACAGTGGTTAACTTACTAACTGAATCATATTAATACAACTTTCAATTAACCAAAGACTGAATTGAACAGTAAGACCAAAGTATAATACAAAAGATACTGCTTACGTATGATTTTGCAGCTTAGGACACTGAAGTATTATTAGTGGGGACAACGTGAAACTCCATATATAATAGCATTACTGCTATCCATAACAACACAAAACTGACATACAACTTGGAAACAAAGTTTTCATTAACTGTGTGAAACTATACTGACATTGCGTATGTATTAGTTTTGAGGTGTCATTTTAACTTTCTCCTTTTTGAACCAGTATATTAAAACAACGTACTTGGTTGTACAGGGGATTTTATTTCGAAGATGGTAGGTAACAATCTTACCAAGTCAAAAGAGAAACTATTTCGAAACAAAGAAACAGCTTTATTACTATCCAAGAACATCTCACAGGCTCACAACCAACCTTATAAAATACTAATGATTTAGAATCTCAATTTAAGTGAATGAAAACTGGCCAGAGTACTGTGCTTTAAAGGAATGCTATAAATTTAATAAAATGAAGATTCTGTCAGAATTTTCAAAAAAATCCACCCCTTAACCGGTGGTAAGGATGAGATTATGTAGAGTAGAAAAAAACACTTTCAGAAAACTTGGGATTTGAGTTTTTTCATATTTGATTGATTTAGAATCTGTGCTATGGCTTCTCCTACACAGTTAATTAACTAAGACCAAATTTTCAAGCACAACAATGACTTCTGGGCTTCTATCCTGTTTTCAGAAACATTACTCACAGTTAGTTTTCTAATTCTATGTCCTTTCATTCAGAGAATAAAGAAGATCAAGAAAATCATGAGAGAGGAGAAACATATTATCGTGTTAGAAAACCACAAAAAGGTCTCGGTGTGACATCGGATTGAACTACTTTTTAAAAATTGAAACTTTTATTTATGACTTTATATTTAAAGTCGTACAATGAATGCTTGTCAGTGATCTGTCCAAGTTTACTACTTCTAATATTTCACAGTGAGGATGAGTGCCTCCTTGATTACACTTGCAACTTATTTCAGGTATTTGTAAACCAAAGATTTCTGTTCAGCCCCACTAACCTTTTGATGACGCTTTACCGACAAAAACATTTTCTAGCTTACGGCAATTTAACCATGTTAAACTTAAGACAACCAGCTTGCAGTTCAGATAGAAGGATTATCTTTTTATCTTTGTCCTTAAACCACATCAGATGATGAGCATTTTCTCCAAGTAATATAGGAACTACTTGCTGAATAAATCAGTAATTTTTTGGAAGAAATCAGTAATTTTAATTTTGAAGGTACCAATCATCTGTTGCATACATTTTTTTTATTAAGCTATAATCCATAAATCTGGACGCTATGATATAAATTGAAAGAACATGAGTTCATCATTGAATAGAACCAGATGTGGCACATGGCCATGCAAATTCAGCACTACAGAATTTCATTACAAGTTATGAACCTTCACAAGAAAATACGCATCAAAAATATTAAAACAGCCAAAACAAAAATATTAAACAGTGTAAATATTACTTACATGCTCTCATTAGGTGAAATACTGTCATTTAGATAAGAACCATTAGTGTTCTCCATTTCTGCTAGCCTGTGGAAAAATAAACAAGACTCATTAAAATCAATTGTTTTCCAGAAACTTTATTTGCTCTAACATTCCTGAAAGAATTAAAGACCGTGATGTTTTTGATCAATTTGAAATTCAAATTAATATACACTCACTGTTGATTACCAAAAAGTTTTGCAATAAGCTATCGCAAAGGCTTGTTTATTTGTTACAATGACCTGGCTAAGCTCACTTCTAAGTTTTCAACCCTTTCTCTGAGGTTATATTCCACTCCTCATGATTAATTAATTCCACAATCAAAGAAAGGCCTTAAGATGCCAGGGGATTACACAAATTGCTTTGTACCTGGCAATGTCATCATCAGAACTGTAATGATCATTCATTTCTCATTGGTTTTTAACACTCAGCCCCTCCTAAACGTCCTGCGTAATTCAGAAATACTTCTCCTGATCAAGTGATTTTGCTGGAGAGAAAGAGGAGGTGGGAATAACTATTTTTCATTACCTTAGCCCTTGCAAATTTGCTCGCCTGGTGGAAAAACATTTTCATATTTGTGCAATTAACTCACTTTTTGATTCTTAAGAGCAGTATGAAAGCAGACAAGTGAACTAAAGCAGGGATATATCACTATTTTAATCCTCCAAATCAAGGAAAAATCCTGTTTGTGATATTCCACAAAGTAAATTACTTAACGGCTCTTGAGATTCACATAGAGTTTGGAGGTTTCTGCTCTTCTGATTTGTACAATTACACCAGAGTCCGTATTAAAAACAAAACCTCATGTAGAATCATAGAATCACAGAATGGTTTGGGTTGGAAGGGACCTTTAGAGATCATCTAGACCAACCCCCTCTGCAATGAGCAGAGACATCTTCAATGAGATCAGGTTGCTCAGAGCCCTGTCCAACCTGACTCTGAACGTTTCCAGGGATGGGGCACCTACCACCTCTCTGGGCAACCTCTTCCAGTGTTTCACCACCTTCATTGTAAAAAATTTCTTCCTTGCATCTAGTCTGAATCAACCCTCTTTTAGTTTAAAACCGTTACCCCTTGTCCTATCGCTATTGGCCCTGCTAAAAAGCCAGAAACCTGAGTGCACAGCTTAATGAAGACCCCACAGGACCTGAAGGCCACTTCTGAACACACAGGTGCTCTGGCATGCAAGTTAGTTGACAGGCTGGTTAGTAGCAACCATGGGCAATGCTCTGCATCCCAGAGCCTGGAAAGCAAAACCCCAAACCCTATGTTTCTTTAAGGAGTGCTCAGGTAGCAGCTAGCCTTTGGGATTTTTTTTTTTTTTTTAAATGATTGTTTAGAGAAAGATCTGCCTAACGTCCAGCTGGTCTCATACCTGCTAGCATAATGTTCAATGCGTGAATGAGTATCATCGTGTGAAAGCTGAGGGGACGAGGCAGGCCTATAAGGCAGAAAACACTGATTAATCACAAACAATACCCCTTTAAAAGTAGAAAAACACTTAGCTATGCCTATACCCTCACATCTCCATGCCTTATGCTTACGCTATGTTTGATAAACAGCACGTTATAACTCCAGGCGCTGTGTGTGCCTCCTCAAGCCATCGGTGCAATGTTTTGTGGTACCACACTGGGGATTTTGACCATTTTGCAATCCGTCTGTTGCAATGACTCTTCTTCACACCAATTTCCGAAGAACCCTCTTCCAAAGGATTTATGGATGAGCTTTCGCTCCGGTTTTCCCTTCACACCTGCCTCCTTCATTGGTAATTCTGTTTCACACACAGCCTGTGCCAGCTGTGAAAGCCCTGCTGGGAACCTCTCCTCTGCCTCCCGCTCTGCTCCAGTGCCTGCTTCCAGCACATCCCACTTAAAAGAGCCTTTAAGGACTACTCCATGAGCAACTAGAAATAAATACAAGAAACATAAAATGTCTGAAACGAGCCTTTAATAACACACTGCAGAAACTGATGATTTTGCCTAGCGTCTTTCCAGAGTTGTAATCTGAACTGTAGATCAGTGTGTTATACAGGAGGAAACTGTCAACTATTTTGGGTTTTCTGCCTGGCAAATCAGATGGTATCAAACTTTTTTGTGGATGAGAACAATTCATGGGACTTCTCATGAGCTAGAGTATTGTTTCTTACAGCCTCAACTCTGGAAAACGTCACCATTGAATTATGTTGCCCATGCAGCTCAGAGAGCACCCTTTGCTGCCATGTGGGATTTTGCCAATCTACACGTATCAGGAGGTGCTGGAATAACAAAAAATGATCCCAAATTGTACGGCAATCTCGCATTTTAGCTAAATTTCAACTTAGTTTTATTCCGTCTCTGCCGCCTCTCCTTCTGGAACTCCTGACTGAGGAAGGACTTTCCCCCCATTTTAAATTGTTGGATACTGTGGTTCACGCTGGATCTGCCCAGCAGGGATTGCACCGCATTGCAAGAGCAGGTTGAGTTTTGTATTTACTGGTTATAAACCAAAACTGTAATAATCTTATGGTTCGTAATGCTCCTGTGTTAGGAGTTTGATAATCCTGCAGTAAACCTACTAGATTGGTCATCTGCCAGTTTTCTAATCAGCCTGCAAAGGGCTCTAGAAAGTTAGGATCCTTCCGAATTCATAGAGCCGTATGCTGGATACACAAAATTCATGATCATTAATGTCCCTTCTCACAGAACAGCAGAGTTTTTCTCTTTAAGACATTACAGACCAAGTATCACAAATCCCATTTTGTCTGAAATGAGCTTTGGCCTCCAACTGTACTTTTACCCATCACATGTCCAAACATTACCACAGCACACCAGAGTCTAAAACTCAGTTCACAGAGTTCCTCAGGACAGCAGAGATTCACGTGGATGGGCAATTGCTTCTCTGCAACTTGATATCCTATTTTGTGTAAGAACATCTACACTGAAGGGAAGGGGGGAGAAAAGGCTGCAATTTATCTAGAGCAGTGGATTATGGAGCAAGATAACAATGGTTTTCTGATAAACTGATGCCATGCCCATTTTTTTATTTGTTGACATACAGTAGATGTTACGCTGGTCTAAGCTGGTACTGTCAATGAAAGAGGAGGTCTTGGTTTCAACGCACACACAAATGTTGCTGCTAATACTGTGCACAGACTGGGAAATCTGTGTTAAAAGTAGCTTTAGTTTTGAGCTGGATCATTCTCCTAGTCCACCTTACCCTGGCATTGCACATGTATTTGTACCAGTACAAAGGAAAGGACGGCCCCTGGCTGGGACCAACTGGGCAATGAAGAGAAGTGATGTCCCTTTTGGCAGCAGTGCAAGACAAAAGATGGGCCTGACTGCATGATTGCCTACTTGCTGCCTTGACACTAAGCTTCACCTTCAGAAGTGAACAAGGTGTGTAATATATATCTATATATATTTTAAAGACAACACAGTGCTGTATAACTTGTTGGAGCTGCGTCTGTCATTCCATCAACTGCAGGCAGGGGATGAGGCTACATTTCCAGGTTTGTCTCCACTTCAGAACATACTACAACGGAGATTTACCTCAGACAGCTTTTTAAAAGTTTACTTATGAAAGCAAACCTGTTGAGAAGCACTGCAGTCTTTCTGTTGAATTCAGCTGCTCAGAGGTACACTTTTGCCAGTACCTGAGCCAGCTTGAGAATGACTGTGCTGTATTCCAGGCTGTTGTGTAGACATACTCTTAGATGACCATCTGTGCTAGAGCTCCCTATCCTTGCTTTCTGAGCACACATACTCAGTCCACCTAATCAGTTTGAACAGTCAGCAAGAAGGCTGAGAGACATCATAGCCAATATTTAGCCAGGATAACCATCCCTTTTACAAGGGCTCCACAGCTGCATTGCTCAAGCTGGGGTCTGCAGGAACAGCCTGGGGAATTCCAGTCAAGTGAAGTGGCAATCGAGCAGCAAACACCACCTCCTGCAATTCCCTGCAACCCCAGAGTCCTGGCTGGCAGGACGAGGGCACTTTTCTTGCTGTTAACCATTTCAGTTGATGCTTCTTGAAAGTGCAGAATCAAGTAAATTGTATTTGTGCCACTGACAGCCCAAGTAATAAGACAAATTCTCAGAAAAAATGTGAGCTGCCCCTTTAATGCCTGGCAAGGAGAATATCTGTGCAAAATACTGGATAACGTGCAGTCAGAATCACTAACTTCTAACAAAAATTATATATGTATGTATTTATAAACAGTTCCAGATATTATACATGTTGATGTCAGGATAGCAGTAGCATTGCTGAATGCTGCTAGGTTATGCTTTTCTGGAGTACTCTGAAGTACTTTGAAAACTGGCATGAAAGCACCAGAAAAAGTCAAGATCTTAGAAAACAGGGAAAAGTTCTATGATAACCAGAATAAGAGGTTTGACTGCCGAAGTTGAAATCAGCCCTGTAACTGAGAAACAGCTTTAAACCTCACTAGCTCAGTAACTTGTGTTGTAGCCCTGGTGGTTTAGCACTAAGGAAAGGAACAAAGTTAGCAGAACAAAACAAAGGGCAATTCTTTCCAGCCACTATTCATTTCTTAATTTTCTGCTTTCTTATCAGACCAGACAAAAGGATTGTGCTCAGGAACCTGATACCTGAGTTGGCCTGATAAAAGGTGCAACCTCTCCGTACAAATCCAGCACCTCAGTATTTCTCAAGTTTTCTTAAGTATTACATGCGAGTTAAAATCCCTGTAGTAGATGACACCAAACCTTTGGTGCGAAGCTGTCAGTGTAGATATACCATAATGTTATTGCTGTAAGCGAACTAGAATTAAGCATGTTATGGCAGCTTAATTTCATGTTATGTCAGAAAAAGCAACGGCATTCCATATTATCCAAACTTTCTTTAAATGTTACTTTTAACTTTTCAGTTGTTCTAAAGGGTAAGAAATCTAGATCCACAGTTGAGTAGATAGTATGCTGCAATCGTCTCCAGATGCATTTATAAATGAAAATGCATCCTAAAGTTCAAAGCCCCTCTATTTCAGTCTGGTTTCAGCTTTTTGGTGTTTCCTAAGGGTGAATCCTCAACCATGAGGTTTGCGGTACTATATGCATTTCCTGGTTGCTTAAAGTAAATTTCCTAGAGGAAGAGCAGTTCACTTGACTTCCCAGTTTTTTGTGCTTCAAATGAAAAATATAAATCAATATTCAAATGTAGACATTTCACTATTGTTTATTCTACCAAAAATTCAATGAAGGTGCAAGCCATATACATTTCACCATATAGAAATATATAAGATTCTATTTATTAGTTTCTCAATAGTTATCAATATGTGAATTAAAAATAATCCTTATTTAACATTATTCTAAAATCATCCACGTAACACTAGAAGTAGCAAATGCCACAATGATAAATATATATATATATATGTATCTTTAGTTTATGTTGAGGGTATTACTACAATAGTAAGACAATGCACGTGCAGGAATGAAGCTGAAAAATTCTGCTTTTTTAACAGCTGAAAAAATACAGTAAACATTTCCCCATTTCAACCTGCCTTCACAAATTTTACTGTTTCTAAAAATCTGTAATAAAATATCCAGTGAGCTTTGGATTAAATCGGGCCACGGGAGTGTGCGGGTGTGCGTGGTTGTGCATAAAAACAATTTATAGCTTTATCTACCAAACAGCATTATTCCTGAAACTGAATTAACTCCATCAAGTTCAACTTATGTTTCAAAAAAAGCATTTAGTATACATTTAGAGGGATCGACACTTACTCAGAAACACAGGCTTTTAAATGACAAACTCTCATAAGCATTAGTAGGACTGCACCAAAATCCCTGTTAATTCAATGAAAATACATACTCCAGAAAGAGTATACAGTACACAATCCATGATTGCTGGGAATTCCCGGATTTATCCCATTCTATTCATTGGGATCAAAACCTTCCTTCAGAGAGTGTACCAAAGAAAATCATAAAGAAAGAAGGAAATGAACTTATGTAAAACTAAACAAAGAAACAAACAAAAAAAAAAAGTGAGGGAACGCAGCAGCAGTAGCAGCAGCAGCACACTTCAGCAAAAGTACTCACGCAGAATCTACTGGCCAGAAGTTGATCAGAGTAACAGGACTGCAAGACAAAAAATGAGGAGGTGAAGAGAGAGGCAGAAGAAACTCAGCAGCAAAATAACTACAGAAAGGTTTAAAACAAAAAAAAAATCACAACAACTAAAAAACAGAAATCCAACAGACCAACATGAATGACTGTGAAGAGCAAACCAACCAAAAAGTGAGAAAAAAATTGGAATCTAAAATTAAAAGAGAAAGAGAAGGAGAGAGCGAGAACAAGCTGTGTGCAACTGCCATTAAATAACTGATTAAACTTGTTAAAAAAAAAAAAATAGAGGGAACTGGGTTACTCATTGATTTCTCCATGTGCATCATTATTGCCTTTTTTTTTTTCCATAAAGACTTCAAAGTCCTTTAATAAGACTAAATTTATAGGGTGAGAAAAGATGAAATCAGCTGGGAAGCTTGCAAACACAGTAGCCTAATTAAAAAAAACAAAAACACAGAAAGATACCCATTTGGAAGAAAATAAAAATTTAATGAAGAGATCATTAGTCTCCAAATTGCCATATGAAACTTTGAAGTTTATAAGGCTGTCAGGAAGACGGCAAGTATTTTTCTTTTACTAACTGAAGTTGAAGCTCCTGTATAAGGACAGGTAAAAACAGATAAAAGCAATGGCAATTGGAATCCCAGCTTGTGTTTTCCTGCCAGCCGAGGTTAACAAAAATGAAAGAAATAAAGAGGCTTTATGCATTAGGAAGTGAAGGGAGTTGGCACCAGCTGGGAAGCTCAAAGAGCATACCAAATGAATTGCTACTTAGGCACTTTAGAGCTACTCACGTTTCCATGTTGTCTCCCTCCAAGACAGTTTGCACAGGCAGGTAGCCCATTCGTGGGTGCTTTGCAAAATATCTTTTTGTTCGAAATTTGTTTTTTAGTACCTTGGCAAAGTCACGGACGTCTTCTCCTGAAGTTGTCTGAAAGCCACAAATCACAATGAAATCATCTTTCATGAGGTTATTACGGTTTTTTGGTTGCCTCTTCTTTTGCTGGGTCACTTGGAAGAGCTGTGGCCACACCAAGAAGAGCTGCCAATGGCTTGACCTCCAGAGCCACAAATTTGATTTATTTATCACCATCACCTTACAATGTATTACACAGCAACACTGCTAGTAGGGAGAAGGAGGAAAAAGGGAAGCTCCAAAAACCCCTGACAGGCTCATGCATCATTTCAGGTGATCTCAAGAGGACAAGCAATAATTAGACAAGAATTTGTCATTTCCTCATGTGGCTCAGGGCACTCTCTACCTGCATTTTGTTCAGCCTGAAAATGGCTGTAATGGAGGATACACAGTCTGTGTGTCCAGCTAGCTGCTTCATTGGCTGGATCCTGACTCTTACCACACACTCGTCATCTACATCTCACGGACTTGTCAGTCCACAAAAGTCAGACCTGTGCTCTCGGTACGTTTTCTTTGCAGTTTCCTTTCTCAGCCTCCTCTGCCATTAATATTTTGATCAAAGAGAAATAAAAAGCAGGTGAGCTGCTGAAAGCTCTTAGATCAGTTATTTCTTCCTGTGCCTGTTTAATCTGAAGCTAGCAGGCACTTAAGATCAATACCCTGAGGAGAGTACAATTTGCTCCAAGTTTTCTACTCCTTTGCCTGCAGTCAGCTTTTCTTGCTGCTGTAGAGACCAGCAGAGGAGTGCAAAGTGGAATTAGTTTCCTAAAGACTAGAATGAGCCAGGAAGAGTTCAAAGGATGTCTGCTGGGAAGATGCAAGACTTCTTGCGAGACTGATTAAGAGTCAGGCAATTTTCTGAAGGATTTTAATGGAAGACTTCAGTTACTTTAGTCAGGCTGCACTCCCTTCTCTGCACCTCACAGAGACACTCGACCCTGAAATACTGCTCTTCTACAGTAAATTAAGTTCTTCCTGACCCACATAACGATATTGCTTCTCCAGTGTATCTAATTTGAAGGAAAGAAATGAGGGAAAAGTTGATCTTTCTGACATTTTTTAATGAGCTCTATGCCTTCTATTTAGAGAGGAAGTAGGTGCTGGGACCTATCAGTCAAGCCAACCTTCACAGAGCTGCTGAAACACAGATGTATATATTTTTTAAAGACTGCTTGGGTAGAAAAATTAAGGATGCCCTGAAAAATAATCTGCAGAAAGACTGAAATGCATTAACAGCAAGGACAAATATTATCCCTGTACTGATGACCTCTACAAGCTTCATGTAAAGCTGGAAAGAATTTGACTCTCTTTCCAGTCAGTCTGTCCGGCAGGAAAATACGGTGTGAGCAATGACTGGCAGAGAAGTGACACAGCAGAACCTACAAGCCACTGCGGCAGCATCTGTATTTTCAAGAAACTGAGATAATGCTCGATAATATTAAAGTATCACTTCCTCAATACATCAGAAGTAAAGACATTTTGAGGAAGGGAGGGATTAGGTATGCCCAGACCATGCAGAGGACTCCAGAAAGGGGATTTACTGAGGTGTCGTGGCTTGCCCCAGCAGGAGGGAATTCCCCCTGCCGACAGCCATCTGCAATGCCGCTAGGAGAGCTCCTGACAAGATCGGCATCAGAAGAGCATGCAGAGCACATCATCTGGGAACAGAAAAAAACTTAATATTTAGTCTTGGTATAAATGGATTAAGCACAGCTTTCTGTTCAGTTTGTTCACCTGTGTCATTTATAACCATTTATTCTTGCTTTGTCTATTTTCAAAACAATTCCCATTGCATTTGAGTGTAATTTGGATTGTTTTCAGGCATGACTAACAATAAAACAGTCTTTGTTTTCACCTTCCTGGGACTGTTACCCGCCTTGCTCCCCTGAACCTTCTGCATGACAACCAAACAGTAAAATGGTGTGTTTGCACAGAAACATCCTGATCCAGCTGGTAGCACAAGAATCCCAAGAAGAAAATATGTCTTCCAGTGACAACTAGAAGCACCAGGTACCTCTCATACGATCCAATTTCCGTTTCAAAAATGTTCAAGGAGCACAAGAAAGGCAAAGAAAACGTGATTATTATGTGGACAAGATGATAGGCTGAGGCTATTTTAAGCCAAACTTTCTGATTTATTCCACAGATGTTTTATTCTGCATGATTTTCAGAGTAAAATCATCCAAAACAAAATTCTCAGCAGAACTGGTTTATGAGGAAGAAATAGTGGAGTTTCAGCACCCCAGCTTTCTTAAATCAAAGCAATACATAGGCAGCTGGGCCAAGCATGTTCCAAACTATTCTGAAACCAAAACTATTTCTTGACATAAGGAGAACTTTACCACCAACTGACTTTTTGCAGTTTGGTTTAAGAAAGTGCTTTTCCAAACCCCTACTCCAGACCTCAGCCCCGATTGTAAACACTAGCTGCAGAAAGGTATCTCGATTTGACATGCTTCCTTCTAACAAGGTGGTTTTTATGCTGGTGTGTCACTGTTCGTTAAACCCCAAAAGAAAAATGATCCTACATTTAAATCCCGGTGTAGAAGTTGTCTTCTATGTTTTATTTGAAACCTCTTTAAAAGTCACCTCTTGGAATAATAAATCGAGCTGTGTTGCTTTCAGGAATAACTGTTGCAGTTTTTCTGTCTAAATGAAAATTAGGGAACAGTCTTGCCCTTATTCTGCCTCAACCTTTTGCAGGAGAGGAAAAATTATCACATCCTCAGATATTTAGCATGAGTTCTCAAATTTCCCCTAAGCAGAATTAAAGACTGCAGTGCTCCAAAATTTCCTGGAAGTAAGAGGGAGGGGGAATAAAAGTATCGAAACACTTCATTGTGCACATCTAGCTATTGCAAAGATATGTCAAAGAAGGCATCACATGTCTTTTGTCTGCCAAAATGCATTTCAAGGTAAGAGATTTGTCTGGAGGAAGAGGAAAAAATGCTCTGCCACCTGCAAACCCCTTTTCATTGACTTAGAAAACAATTACATACTAGACGCCATAGCTTCAGTGGATGTCTTGTTCAGTGACACAGCATTTGGGTTTATTTTTCCAATAGCAGCAACACAAAAAAGATCAGGGCTTGCTGTACACCACATTCACTATTTTTTTCCCCCCAGTTAATCCTTCTCTAATTCATCTGGCTGCTGGTGCAGCCAGGCACGGCACATTAGCATGGGCTGCTGGAGTTCAGGATTCACAAGAAAATGTACTGGCTGTGAAAGGTTCTTTATTCTGATCCAGCAATCTGGACGTGGTTGCAAGTTTTCTGTTCACCACCGTGTTTGCCTGTTAGTAATCTGCATTTTTAGGGAGAAGAGAAACCTGCTGGACCCCGTGTTGCAATGAGCTGCTGCAGGCTCTGGGGGTGTCTCACAATCCTTTTTTGTTTCTCTCTCCTCAAAACACATCTTATGAACAGGTTAAGAAAATAGTAGCAAGTCGCTGGTTTGTGCACTCTGTGCACCATTCACAAATGTCCCATGTCATCTCATTAGCAAGAATATGAGTGCTAAACTGCAAAACAAAACTGTAGCCAGTTCAGCAAGGAGGTATTCAGCTGCAGCCGGATTGAATGCTCCAATGCAGTCGCTTGGTTGCTTGCTCTGCCTACGACTCAGATCATGAGAGTCTGCTCTAGGAATGTCTGCGATGGAGAAGTCTGTTCAGACCTGCCCAGGCAGCGCCAGCATTTCTCTCTGACTTGTGCAGCAGTTCAGGCACATCGCCCTTTGCAGTAACCTCAACCCCTGGGGGACAAGGCTGAAAAGCAGCAGCCAATGAATACCGACAAAAAGCTAGCAAACACACATTAGTTGCCCTTGCAGAGATTCATATTAAATATTGCCATTTAAATGCTGCAGTAAAAGTTGATAGATAATGTAAATAAATGTCCATAAAACTAACAAAAATAGTGGTTTTGCTTTACTATAATATTTTAGGGGAACACTTTTTCCTCTCCCTTTCCTAAGTTTCTAAGAAAAGCTGAGAGTCTACTTTTATTTTGGCCATACCTTTTTTTTGGATGAAGACGTAAAGACCATTCATGTAATTTTACGAGGCTAGCCCATGTATAATTTTGATGCTTTATTTTCGCTATTTATATTTGACCAGCAGATGAAAGTACATGACTAGGAACTATCCCAACACACTAGGAAATGACAACCAGAGAGTGCACTGCTTCAAGTCCACCACAAACAACAGCAAAGGCAGCTGAAAGCTCAGTCATGCTGCACCATGGAAGGACAACTTGTGACCTCCTCTAATTTATGCCTTTCTGCCCTGGTCATGAGTGGCAAAAAAGAAAAAGGAGAACATAGAGAGCAATATGGGATTTCTTTTGCCAGCTTTCTGGTATGAAAGAAATGTTCACGCAAAAGCGATCCTTTTGAGAGCTGTGAAACAAGGGCAAGGACCCTCACCACACCATCAATGCAGCACATCTGCACTGTGCTGCACTGAACACCCCGGCTTCCAGTCTTCAGAAATGAAATCTAACTTGTTACTCTTGATAACTTCCCTGGTATTTTATAACATCAAGTGATCATACAATACAAAGGTGCTATTAAATAGTTAAGAACTTAAAAATGCAATCATAGTGTTGCAAGGAAAACAACGTGCTGAGGAAAGGAAGAAAACTCTCACACTGATACAGAGAAAACATTGATAATGGAGAAAACATTGTGACCTAAGATATGAATGAGTATTTGCACAAATCACAGGCTTCCTACAGGATCCATAAAGTGAACTATGGCACTGAACATCAAACAAGTCATTAGCATGCAATAATATATTACGACACAGCATTGTACAAACAATGAACTTCAATTTACTTCAAACCATTGGAGTATCCTTTACTAAGCATCAGAAATTGCTGGCATGTATAGTCTATAAAAGGTGATTTAATTGGGGGGGGGAGGGGAAAGAAAAGCCACCCAAATGCTCCATTACCTTGCACATAGGAAATGAAGTTTTTCCTTTCTACATAAGAAGGGACAGTAAGGGTCAGTAAAACAGCTACTTACTGGTGTGCAGTATTCCACCATGGGATAGTGCATTTTATGACCTTTTGCAACACGGCCAGAGAAGAAGCAACTTTGGCAGATGTCATAGTTAAAGTGCTTTAAACTTCTGTACCTAAAAGAAGAGGAAAAACACCCCACGGCTTCAGAGCTTTGTACGTGACTGCTTCATATCAGCTTGTCAAGCTTTTTGCATTAATAAGTTCTCTTCCCTGAGATGTCACACGGTGTGCAATGCTGGGCAATGCTCCTCTGCCACTGAGGACAGGTATTGCTGCCTCAGACGTTTATCAGCGATCCGAGTCTTCAAAAAAATTTTTAACACTGGGCAACAGTGAAGACTTCTACACAATCACTGTCTCTCAACACACGAAAGACACCACCACGCTTTTTGTTTCTACAATGCTAATTTCAGTTCTTTTGATTTTCATCGTGATCCATAACACAGAATGTCCTGAGGAAGTAAAATTCAAATAAGTAATGCCCTCCTCAACAAGTTGCTCCAGCAAACTCCTAAGTGCTGCATACAAGGCAGGAATTTGTTTGTGTCCTTCCTAGCACCTCTATCAAAACAATTTTCCTACATGGCATGCCATCCATGCAAAACTCCGAATGCACTTTTGGGCCATTATTTAATCTCACCAGCTCTATGAGGCAGCTAACTGTTGTATCTGCTATGGTGAAGTGCTTGAAAGAGCCAGAGGCATAAGGGCTGCCCTGTTCCAAATATGCGAAGCAGTTCAGTCACAATGACCTCAAAAGAACATTGTTTTACATGTACTGAGGCACACAGTATTAGCTTTCTAAAAGCTTTCCAATAGAGTATCTTTTTGTCAAGTGTGTATGCAGGGTCTCAATGACTTGCAAAGCCAGAGAAAAAATCTGCAACAGACAGATTCAACTATCATGATAATGGATTTGTTATATAAATTTAAGAGTCAGATGAGATCAGACAAATAAAATTAGACGCAAACAGAGAGCTCCAGTGTCCGCTTCCCAAGTTCTCGATGCTTACTACAGACTATCCATTCACTTGCCATCCTTTGATTTTCCAAGTGCTGCATTTTTCAATTCCACCTACTTGTCCTTGGCTGTTTATATAAAAGCGTGTAAGTAATTCAGTAGTTTCACAAACCATATCTGTGAATGGGAAAATTAGACTTTGTGGATGTGTTGAACTACTCACATCTTATCCCTAGCTCTTCCTCAGCAATATTTATCATTTCCCAGTTAAGATATTCAAGGGGAATAAAAGCAGAAGGAGAAGAATTTAGATGATTAGAGGAACAGCCTCACTGAAGAAAAACTCAGATGCAAAACAAAGCAATATCTTCCATTATTTCCCCTGTTTCCCATTGCCTGTGAAATTGCATAGGAGAAAGCACAGCCCACACTACAGGCATAAAAGCAACATTCATGCTCTCCCAGGTTAGAGCAAAATGATGGCTTTTCTGTGTAGTACTGCTTACTGCTGTTGTCCATCTGGGTTTTAGAAACAAAATTATACGATACCATAGAAGGAGAAAACCAATGGTAAGAGACGACCGTGCATAAAAAGTACAGAAACCATACAAAGCAGCTATTGCGAAGCAAAGTGATAAAGCAAGTCTAGGCATAATTGAAAGCGAGTATTTACTTAGCCGTTAAGTGGATTCTCAACAGGCATACCAACACACAGCCATTTTACAACACAGTGACTTATTCATTGCTATAGTAACCATGGTGTCGATCCAGATGTTTAAATAGACCAGCAACATTTCCCCCACTCCAGGTTAATCTTCCACCAACTACATTCTTTCTCTGAGAAACGCACACGTAGCTTTAGATGTCTGCAAATTTTCAAGGCACTTCCTTGCTTTATACCATGACAGAAAGCAATTCATTAGGATCCAATTCAGAAAATGCAACTGCATGTATAGGACAGATTGAATGTAAAGCAAATCGTATTAGTTGTGCAATCTACCAATACTTTGGTTGAGGCACGGAAGGGCTGCAGGCAAGAGCAGGACATAGAGGAAGGGCCATATCCTAACTGATAGATGATTTTTGTTCTCTTCAACTCTCGCATCACTGTACCCAGTCTAGGTGCCGCTCTCCCTCGTGCCCTGTCACCATTATTTTTTCCCTGAACAATATGCATAAAATCAAGCACATGATTTGCCTGGAAACAAGCAGAGCTCTTGATTCACCATGTAGTAGCACACACGGAAAGGGAGCAAGCTTGTACCTGAATCCAATAATTGGACACTCCTTGCAGATGTTACACTTTGCTTGGTGTTTGGCAGTCTCAGCAGCAGCCACCCTGTGCAAAACAGGCAGCCACACCATGGACTGTGGTTCCAGCCTCATCCAGTCCAGGAAGAGGGCTGCTTCAATCTCCGGTTTGTTGTTGGCCTGTAACACAGGGGGGAAAAAAAGACAGCGGCTAAGCACAAGTGATCTGTCTACTACCAGCTAATTAACAGTTCAAGCTGTTAGTTTCCTGCCTACTCTTTATCTTTTCCCTGAATGTACTCCAGCTTTTCCCCAGTCCAGCCATTTATAAAAAAAAAAAAAAATCTCCAGGATTTTGTCTTCAAGCCAGGAACTGAATGCTGTTATTAACGTTTCAAATCTCTCTCTCTTATTCCCTATTACAATAGACAGCACTAACATGTACTCTGTCACAGAGAAAATCATCCACTTACAGGATCACCTTTGATGCCTGATCTCATGTTTCCCGTCTCTCTGATCTGAGCCTGCACAGAACTGCTTCTCACCTATTTTAAAAACAGTCTGTGTTATCCAAGCCCTAAAAAATGGCACGTCTTTTGATCAAAATTCCTTCCTCTTTAATGTCCTTCATTATCATACTGACCTTTCTTCTAAGTGCATGCATAAGGAAATCATTCAAATCCCTTCTCAAGCCTGTTGAACATGTAACCTCTCTGCCTCCTTAAATGCCTCAAAATCCCTCTTTCCCACCATACCATCTCTAAATTTCCTTTCATTGCCTGCAAATACAGTACAGTTTTGTCCCACAGAATACAATCAATTTAGCCTCATATTCCAGTATGTCCCACTTTCACCTCTTTGTCAGCAGCAAAAGAGCCTATGAAAACTTCCCAGCAGTTCTGTTCCGCTGCTTCCTTCCCATCACATCCTAACCACTATGATTATTTCAGGTATCTCTTCTACAGTAGCTTTGAGGCAGCTCAGTCACAGACCTGAATCCCATTTCGGCAGGTACCGTGCACACACCTAAAAAGGATACATCACCCCTACCTGGCAACACCTACAGTATGGAAAAAGAAACAGCAAAGAGACGAGAAACACAAGGCAACAGGGGACAACAACAATCTATCTACACGGGCAGGGGTCACGCCATACCAGCAGGCTAGCCACTGCAGAATAAAGGCAAAGAGCATCAAAAGGGATTTTAAGGAAAACAGTGAAGTGATGGAGTCCATGTTTATGGGGAACCTCTCTCTGGTGCACAGGGTGGTGCAGAGCCAGCACAAAACTAGTTATCTGAGAACCTGGGAGCTGGTTTCAGTGCTGAAGGTGAGGTGATGGATCAGGTGGAAACAGAGAAGGGCTCTGGCGGTGAGGACAGGAGGGAGGAGGACCAGCCCGCACAGGGAACAGCCCAAGCGATGAAGCAGGATACCTTTCTGCTCCACTTCTCTAAACCATCACTACGTGCTAATTGAAATTCCTTGAGACATTTCCTTCCATGCTACCCAACAGAAACAGCATATTTATGGTCTGAATATATTTAAATCCTCTGTTTTCCTTTTTCTCTGGGGTTTCAAATACAACCCTCTGTGGGCCAGTCTTTTATATTTCAAACTTCACAAGGCAGACTGTCTTCCTTTTGGCTCCAAACCTATTTGAAGCATTTAAATAAATAATAAGCATTAATGTATCATGTACATGGACCAAGATGAATAGGGGATTGAGTGCTGGGTTGTGTTTTTTTTTTTTTATGCTTGCTCTCAGTTACTTTTCCAGTTTCTCATGAAATCTGAGTTAGTATGACCTAGCTAAAACCTTATTCAAGTAAAAATGCTAGCAACAAATTTGGAGAAAAAAATATCACAACTGATCTAAAGGAGAGAGAGCTATACGGAAAAACAATTAGCTGTGGTTTTTTGGGTTGGTTTTTTCCGGTTTGGTTTTTTTTTTTTTTTGAAGCTAACACTGTTTATAACCTTGATGAACAAATTAACCAATCGATACTTGAAGTCTGAGAAAAATGCGGTCTCCTAGACAGAACCCCTGGCCACAAGAAAGATGTGGAAAAAAAAAAAAAAAAAAAAAAACAAAACCCAAACCAAAAAAACCCCAACAGAATACCTCCTGAATAATGCATTGCATTAAAATTTACTTAAAATGCTGCTGCAATACTCTGGTTAATTAGAAATAAAGATTTTTTGGTCAGGGCTTTCTTCTTGAGATGCTAGTTTGGGAAACCATCTAAAGACATATATGGATTGCTAGTATAGTGGTATACATCCTTTTTGGATGTTTGGGGTAAAACCATCAAACCACAGCGTATCTACTGTTATTCAGATAAAGTCACTCACAATTTAATTTTCACTATAGGTCTTATAGGAAATAACCTATTTCTGAAGACTTCTGCATTAAATCCTACTCCTCTGTTTTTTCATGTAGCTACAAAATTTAGGAACCTCCCCAAAGAAAAAATAGAGAAAATCAAAAGTACAATAAAGTCCAGTCAACACTGGCAACAGAATTTGTTCGGAACAGCAGATACTGCCTTCTGCTGCAGGACATCAGTGAATTCAATAGAACTAAATTAATTCTAGAACTGTCTTAAGAGAAAGGCATATTTATAAAATACGATCATCCATATGTCTATTTTTCAGCTAGCAGCCAGGGCAGTAAAGGTGCTGGGGAGAGACTTTCTGTGGCTCACTCAGTAAGCCAGCATCAGCCAGGAACCAAACTAGCAAACCATTACCCTGCCTAGCAGACTACATTTTATATACAGAGGTCCTCTAAGCCTCAAAAAAATTTTAAAGAGGATCTCTTTAATATGCCATTTCTAATAGAAAAACATGAAGTGTACGGAAATGCTGCAGTGGAAGCTGCAGTCAGAATAAGAATGAGCTGCTCAAAGCGCCACTCTCCACTTGTAGCTGCTTTAAATTTGCAGCGAAAATGCTGCAGCAATGAAAGACTTTCTGTAACATCCAAAGATCTATTTTAATTTTGCAGTCGCTGTTGATTGCCAGCAGTCCCAATAGCTGCCTACCCAGAGCTCTGCACGCTGGCTGTACAAAACCTGTGCTCAAAGAGATTAGGTGCATTAAAATGTATCAGAACTGGTTCCAAATTATATTACATGAACATTTAAAGCCATGTGGAGAAAAGCTGGTCAGGGTCAGACAGTATAGGACAGACCTCGACTATTCCCTGAGCTGCTATTATGATTTTTTTAATAATCTCTAAATCCGGTAAAGGCAGCAGCTGAAGATTTTACGTAAGGGAAAGTCTGAATTCACACAGTTCGTATCTGAACCAACAAGATCAAGCTGTAAAGAATATTAATGGTTCTTCTCTTGAACACATTTCTCTGCAACTCTCAATTTTTATGGTAATAACAGAGTGAATCATAAAGTAAAATTCATAAAGCCCTTTCCAGCTTAGAAGTAACAATTTGTTATGGGGGACATTCAAATTCATTATGTTCCAGACATCTGTTTTTCAGTATTTATTTTGCAGAAACAATGGGGGAATAGGAAGTTGGGTGGTGCTAGCATCTTTATGCCATACTTAGGAGTTGAATTTTTGGGGGTTTTTTTCCTCTCTTCTTCCAGCTAGTACTTTAAAAAATACTCTACGCTATATTAACTTTATCTATCCATAATATGAAATATGCTTAATACAGTCATGATATTACATGAACAATGTGATATGTTTTTGGACAGAGTCAGACAATATAGCACAAATTTCTGATAACATTTTTGATGAGCTATATTTCTGTTTAGCTGCGATGTAAGAAATTAATTGGAAATAAATTAACATTGTTAATTTAATGATGTTTTCCATCCAGGATGGAAAGCTTTATGTTAGTCTAAGGAAGTATTATTTTGGACAAAATGAAAATGGGGAATGGGATTCTTGTGACTTATTTAAGTTTAAAAATGCAGAACAAGCCATGGACAGCAGTGCTGTCTCCCGGGAGTCAGACCAAACCCTGCTCAACCTTGAATGGCTTCCCCAATAACACTTGTGTTCTCCCCATTGCTAGCTGGTAAGAAAACAAAAGTCAAGAATTCATTATTTCTGAGACAAGTGCTGTTTCATGGTCAAGAAAGACAGGATTATTATAAAGGTAACTTTGGGTGATACAAACTGCTTAAATCTGCCTCAATCCTTGGAGCAAATGCTTAAAATCTTTGACCCTTTGCATTGCACTTGATTGCACTAACTACTCCAGTCAATGTTTTTAGTGTTGTGGCAAAAAGTAATAAAATAAAAAAACATGAACCCAGAAGTGAATTAGTGTACAGTTTTCTATCATCCACACTTGAAAAACACCATCTTCCTACTCCCCATACAGTAAACCATTTTAAAATAGCTCTTTAAAGCAGTTCACTTGTAGGACTCTTCAAGAGTACCTCCCAAAGTCAGGCACAGGTTCACAAAATCCTGCCGAAATAAAACCAGAATTGCTCTTTTATGACATTTACAGCATAGCAGCTTGAGGAAGGATTTGCTAGTTCCCCTTAGGCCAGCTCTCCCCTGTCAGAGCCAAAAGCAGAAGAAATATCCTATGAATAGAAACAAGGGCTGCCTGGATCTCTCAAAAGAGACTGAGTCCCTCAAAAGTAACACTGCATTTGTACGTTATTTTCATACAGACCTCTATATATCTATATATAGTTATTTGTACACAGTATTTCCTAACTGTTCAAAAAAAAAAACCACCACCACCCCAACTCACCCTTCACACAAAATAAGTGCCCAACCAATTCAAATTACAGCATTTATGGTCAAAGTCACTATCAGGGTCCTGGCCCAGGATTTGCAATACTCAAACTCCACTTAAAAGGACTAACAGGCCCCTATTTTGGCTTTTATTTGTCTGAGTAAATATACTGGATTTGGACACCGTTAAGTGGTTGTAAAAACCAGGCTGATCTCGCCTGATCATTGATCAAGTACAAACCTAGAAGTGAAGACTATACAACACAGAATATTAAAATACTTTCCTCTGTCAAAGTGAAATGAAACAAGAAGGTTTAAAATACAGATATGAATTAACTGTACATATTTTACTACTTCTTAGCTTCATCTGTACTGGTTTTTCATACCAAGTACTCTACTTCAAGTACACCCTCGGAAGAAAACATACTTAAAACAGTTTATAACCGAGAACCAAATATCCAAAATTTTATTGAGAAACAGCAAGAGACATTTTCATCCGAGCTGCATTCTGTTTTCGCATCACATTTCTTAAAAGTCCCAATGTCACAGTAACTCATCCAAGGCAGTGATGTGAATTCCTAGGTCCTATTTACACTACACGAGGAAAGCATATTAATAATTTTCCACCGTGATTAAAACACAGCGCATCTGTCCTTTAGCCCGTAACAATTCCCTATCCTGTTTACTTAAAAAATGCACCCATCACAGATCTAAAAGGAAAGTGCTTTCACACTACAGTAATACTGAATTCACTCAATTTTTCATGGATCTATAGATTGCTTTGTTGCAGTCTGAGCCCAGGCAGAACTATATAGCCTTCAAATGGTCATCAGATCAAGCTCTTCCCTCTCACTTAAGAACATTTTTTTCTTCAAAATCTGAAAGCAGAAATTACATCCCCCTGCACTGGCTAGGAAAGATGAGTCCCGTAACACCCTTTTTCTCCCAACAATTACTATCCGTATATGAAGAAAACTATGAAAAGCAAGTGTCGGTGCTGGAGGGATGTAAAGTAACAGGGCAGCGGCAGCCAGCTGCGATAAGGGGACCTGCTCCTTGGGAGCGGGCAGCAGGCAGGCTGCTGCCAACAGCGGAGCTGGGAAGCCCGCCCTCCCCAACCCTCATTCCCAAGGACTCGAACTTCAAACCGAAAAGCAGGAGAGATTTCCCCTGTTATCGCCGGGAACAGTAAACATCCCCTTTTTTTTCCTGCTGTTGTGCAGACAGACAAGGCTGTTGCCAGGGCACCTAACCTAAGGGGGCTGGGAGAGTGGTTTCTGAAGCGCGCATTTGTTGTGGACTCTGACATGACTGCAATTTATTGCTGGCTTATCATCACCAGAAAGAAAAAAAAATAAAAGAGAGAAAAAAACTCTAAAGAAAAAGCATTCCGCACCGTGGGCGTACACAAAGACTTAATTTAGTTTCCACACAGTAATGTAAACTATGAATCCCCACGCTATTTTTAAAAATTGAATTATCGCACTTCAGCAAAAGGAGGCCAACCAGGAGCCCTGTACAGTCCCCCTTCGACCATCCAGCTCCTCCAGCCCCTGTTTCCCAGG